TATATATAAACAAAAATTTAATTATATAGCATGATGGTTGTTTGTGTAATCAATCAGTTGGAATCAGAAAACATTTTTTTTTAATAATATAAGAATAAGTTATTGCTGCATTTGTTCCCCAAAGGTTTTAAGATTTGTGTCTATTCATATTTAAATTTTAAGCATGCATATTTGTTTCGTTTAATTTAAATTTGATTTAAGGTTTTTAGTTTCTTTCTTATATATTTATCGAAATATTGGCAAATTATTTGTAAAACGTATACATTTCAATTATATTTAATATCAATTTAAAATTTATTTATGTAATGCTAAATGTCATTGTTTCTAATTTACAAATAAAAAGTGATTTTATTTGAATTCGATACATTAACACATAATGAGAGTAATTTTTTTTACTTTTCTTTAAATCTTAAAAAAGAAAAATATAAAAATTGAAATTATTAATTTTAATTATGAAATAAAATCCCTTTCCCGATTTCCAAAAATACATTTTTTCTAAACTAAATTTTATTGTAGAATATAAATATATTAATCAATTAATTAATTATTAGTTGATTTACTTAAATAAGTTCATAATGTTCCCCACATTAAGCCCTAAATTGCAATTCATTTGAAAACAATTTGTCTAAAACCTCTTTATTTACAATAAAAATTTTTAAATTTAAAAATTATAAAACCCTATATAAACTTTCGAATAAATATTTTACAGGATTGCAAACTGCATGAAATGTAATCCGGAAAAATCGATTTCCCTGACTAGTTATTGAGATTGTTGTTATTGTTAAAGCAGTGAAAAAATTATAAAATTTTATCTACCAAAACGAAATATCGTTCTTTGAGATTTTTCTCTGCGCGCACACTGAATGAACGAAAACCAAAGAAACAGAAAAAAAATTAAAAAACAAAAGAATTTTATTTCAATGCAAGTGCCTGATAACAAAACCAAAAAAACTATGAATTTACCAAAGAGATATACAAATGAATCTCCCCAATGTTATTGAAGTTCAATTTAACCTTAAAACTCAACAGATAACCAAAATACATATTTTACTATTTAAGCATAGATGTCTAAAGGTTGAAATTCGCCAAAAATAAAAAAAACGTAGTCTTCACAATTCTTATTCTTTATTCAGCCTGCTTCGTAGTACATCACCCTAGGACACCCAAGTTGTTGATATTGGAAGATTTTTTTTTGTTGTAGACACCTTTCATACCTCCAAAAATTCCATAGTAGTTAGAAGCGAATGCACATACATAAAAATTTTCACGTTCGTATATGTCTGTAGTTTAGTTTTGGACTCCAGAAATATCAACGTTAAAATGAAATGGGTTTCAAATCCGTCACAATAAGTTGAAAACCATACACAGAGATCTGTATATTGCGAGCCTTAACTACTGAGTATCGGGAAATAACGTTATATGAGAGCAATATGAAAAGGTGACCCTATATAGACAATATCCTGCCATTAAAGCTTAAACCTATTACGAGCTAAAAATACTGATTTTTATTCAAATTTTAATCGAATATCGAGAAGTATATGGAAAACCTATATATACAATATTTTGCTACCAGATACAGAATTTGTTACAAACTCTAAATATCAAAGTTATAATACCGAATATCAGGGGTTAACGTTATATTGGGGCCACAGGAAAACGTGGGCTTATATAGATAACTTTCGGCCATCAATGCTAGAACCCTACTAATATATAAATATATAATTTTCTGTTAGAAAATATTCGGCAAAATACCTGTAATAATACCAATAACTCTGAAAAAGAGTGTCCGATATCGGCATAAAGTAATATTATTGCCAAATTGATATCGACTTCGAAGATTGGTCCACTCTTTCCCTACTTAAAAGGTCAAAACTACACAGAAAATAATGTATCAAGCTAATATTATTTTCAGTGCTATGTCAGGTAGGAAAATGGGCAATATCGAACCACTCCATTGAGGACCTCCCCCACAAAGGGTAAAAATTTCGAATAATTATAACTCTTATAAAATGTGATGTATGCGTCCGAATCCCTTCAAATTACACACATCACAATAAATGTGGACCGATGTCATAACGTGCGAAACAAGTCAGCGATTCTTTACAACTTGTTATATCCAAAAATTTCTCTTAACCAGAAACCTGAGATGAATATAAAATTTATCGGATTTTATGATTTCGCATAAAATTGGATATAAATGTTTGATTTTCTTGTAATTTTTCCCATACTAATATGTGTACCCTTATTAGATGAAGTATGAAAATTAAATACTTCGGTCGACTACGCCCATTTTAACATTTTCTAAAAATAAACACATAGGGTAAGTGTGCCTAAGTTCGACATGTCCCAGTGGTCGGCAATTTTTATTTTTAAGCCCAAATAAATGAAACTTTTACAACTAAATGTATTTTGTTTACTTCAAATATATTGTCAGCTATCTTTGCGTACAATTTCGCTAAGAAAAGATGATTTATTCTAATAAAAATTAAATTTTTGTCTGTGAAGGTCCTCAACAATCCATATTCTTAATAAAAGTACAATAAAGACGTCGAATCAGTTTAACTAAACAAAAATATTATATTTTAATGAATTAATTTATTATTATTATTAATTATTCTTAAAAAAAATGGTATGCCGACTGTTGGAACATGCCATACCGACAATTGGCAAGCGGTGCCGACTACTGGCAAAAAAGCATTGTTTTAATAAAACTACAAATTTATGAAATTTAATAAAAAGTTATTAAAACGTTATTTATTATTGCAAAAACTATACAAAATTTCGAATCTAAATAAATTAACTTTGTAATAATTGAAATGTTCCACTCAGAGTGGTGAGCGATTAAAAACGCGAAAATCCTAAAAGTGCCGACTACTGGTACACTTACCCTATCTCATATGAAGTGAAGGAAGAAACCAATATAGTCCATACCTGGAACGTCGCAATATTTGTATCATATTTATTTAGGTCCGAGACGAAATGGAAAATCTACCCTCAATTTGAATAATCATAACAGAAGTCAAAATATATTTAAATAATCGAACATTAGCTGAGGGTATATATCTGTCGGAAAAAGCGACGGACACTTTTTAATCTGTTTTATCAAAAACTTGCTACTTGGCATTAAATTTGGGTAACATCGGTCCACATTTATTCGATACACGTTTTTACTGCGCATAGAAGCTACCCATGCAAGATTTGTTTAAAATATATTCATATTTTCGCGTTTCAAGCTGAAGTGTTTTTAATTTGCGGAAAACTCCCTCACAGAAATGTCCTCCATAAAATAGGTCATATTTTCCAATTGCCTTAATTTGGCACGTCAAGTTCGCCAAGGATAACAGACCATCTGGCCAAAATATTTGCCTTGCCAATATTTTCTAACCGAATTAATTACGAATTAGACATTCCTCATGGTGGAGGTTCAATCTTGCCGAATATATAGCCATTTTACTTATTTCTAAAAAGTAAAATTGTTGCTGCTATTTCGTTGATTTGTTGTATTCTTGAGGATTATAGACGAATGTTTTGGACGATTTATCTCATAAACATTTCAAGTACGAAGTTCGTCAGCATTTGATAGAAAATCGACAGGTTTTACTAAAATTCGTGCATATTTACGTTGCATATTTACGTTGAAAAAGAATCTTACATTGAGCTTGCAAAAAAATCAACAATTGTTTTTTACACTGACACACATCTACATAGATACCTGTAGTAATACATATTATTACACTATTTACGAAATCATATCATCATTATATCTGTATCATTTCTTATTAATGGCATGTTTCAATTTCTTTTTTCTATTTCATATTTTATCTACTCAATTTAATCTTTTCTAGCGGTTGGTTGTAGTTCCTTAGCGTATTAACTTTTGTTTTCATTGCATGTGTAAAAATATATGTGTGTGTGTTTTGTCTGAAATCAAATGAATTGTTTCCGTTTCCTGTCTTGTTGAAATCTAAGTACTTACCATTCGATACCTTACTACTCCATCATGATCATCAAAACAACCCAACTCGACAGCATACTAGTTGTACAACGTTAAAATGGCTACACCCTACACACCGAACTTTATCACCGACTCGCCAGAAGCAAAAAGCCATATTTCTCTCTCTGTCTCTCTAAAAAAAAAAATACAAACGACAACCACACATATAAATTAATGTGGCGTTTCCACTGCACTTGATTCGCTCTCTATTCGTTGTTTGACCCTTAACTATGAAAAAACTACCAAATTCTTCACACAAAATTTCCTGAGCGAACACTCATATTTGTACGTTGTTCAATTCAAATCACTCTCAGAACAACGAAAAAATATGTCCCATCCCTAACAAATGAGAGCATTTATCGAAAAAATAAATTATGACATTTAAAAATTAAAAAAAGAAAATTTAATGAAATTTAAAAAAAATTTGGGAAGACTGAAAATTATGAATGAAAACTACAATGTTGAATGGCCTATGTACATTCAAACGAATGTTCATTTTGTTTTCTATCTCATTCGAGGCACGCATTTTGTCCACGACTTAAAATTTCCACAGAAAACTGGAAACAAAAGAGGCAATATTTTCAAAATGTTTGTATCGGCTGAAAAAATGCTTGACAAGTGTCTCTCCAGCAGAATTTAAAAATAGAAAAATACAAAAATATGTTCAAAATGTCAACATTTACATAAAAAGTTAAAAACGTGAATGAAAACTATAAAATTAATGATATAATAAATCTTTGGGAGAAAAACAATCATTTCTTCTATGCATATTAGTGAGAATTTAATGCATTTTAGTATAAATTCCCATTAAAATCAACAAACAAAGTTTTTGAAAAAAGGAATTATTTTACTATGAATTATGAATCGTGCCGTATGAACGGGTTAATTCGTGTACCTAATTCTGAGAGCGAACAACGTTGTTCGGTTTCCAATGGAAACATGCTATAATTTGTGTCTTATGTTGATTTCTCTTCACCCCGTTCAAATATTTTTTTCTTTTCTGTAGCAAACTACTGTGTCACAGTGATGATGAGGATGAAATGGAATACTAGACACACTCACTAACACACACACATTTAAATATATAGTAATATAGACACGCATATAAATATAGAATTATAAATAAAATAGTTTCATAATTTAATTCCCATTACTGTTTGGTTACTTTTGTTTTTAAAAAAATTATAGATTATCGATAAGAAAATCTAGAAAAATATATAGTTTTATTTAAATTAGTTAATTATATAAAATCTCAATATTTATTATAGAAATTATTTTAAAATACTAATATTATTTCCATTTTAATTTGTTAGACATTTGTAGTATCTATTCTCCTTTGTGAAATAAACTTCATCGATTATTTATAATAATGTTCAAATCGAATTGTATTCTTATTAACACTTTAGAAATCGTAATTGGATAAAAAATCGAAACAAATGACAATTAAAGAATTTTTTTTTAATATTAAAAAAAAAATACAAAATCTACAATGTCTCGCAAATATATTTAGAGCAGATGTTTTAGAAATAACCCCGGAAAAGAACATATTTTGCGGATTTTCCATTTTTCCGTACTAAAATTAAACGGCTTAATTAATGTACTGTGTGCATCATTATCTAGAATTAATTTCCTCGTTTTTAAGTATTTTATATACCCTCAACCATATGGCTCTATATCAGTAGCTACAGTCAAAACGTGTCTCTTCCAAATAACTGTTTAAGACCCTAGGTCTCTTTGGACCAACTCCGTTTCAAAACATTTGGAGTGGATGTACGGTTGTCCGTCCGTCCGTCTGTCTGGTTGGTGGGCACGATAACTCTAGAAGGGAGTATACGATTTGTTTCAAACTTGGTACATCATAATATTATTATCAATCTTACACCGAGTTTGAACATGGGCAATATCGGTCCATTCCTTTTGGTACCTTCCCCAAAAAAGGTCAAACTTTACACGAAAAAAAAAATAAAGAAAAAAATTGAAGGCATCGTCCAAACCTTGCAAATCCTAATATTTTTATTAGCGCTGGTGCGAAAATGGACATTATCGCACCATTCTATCAAGTTACACACCCACAAAAGGGTCAACATTTTGAATAATTATAACTTCTATAAAATGTGAAATAAGTGTCTGATTGTTTTCAAATTTCAAACATCTCGACATTTCTACCGACAAAACATAACAGGTCAATATTTTGAATAATTATATCTCTCATAAAATATGAAATATGTATCCAATTTTCTTCAAATGTCACAATTTCTCATAACAGAAGATTTGCTGGAAATGAAATTTATCAGCCTATTCCTTCTGGGGCCTCCCCCACAAAGTGCGAAATAAAAATCCGATTCTCTAGGGAGCTAAAATTAGGGACACGAAAATCTACTTTTTTCGACTTTTGGCATTATTTTGAAATTGATTAGTCGGCTTTTGGCGTCAAAAGTCTAAAGCAGGATGAGCCGACACAATCACAGTTTTGTACAGACCTGAAGAGTATACTCCATACAAAATCCCACTCTTCGAGCAATTCCATTTGCGAGCAGATTTGTGCTATAATTTTGTTTAAAAACTGACCATCGATCAGTAAACCAGTCGTGTACATCAGCATCAACTGGTTTCGCTGTCGAATTTTCATCTCTTGCTTCAAAGTTGTTAATCAAATTTTTTATTTTTATATGAGCCAAATAATATGCGACGAACTTGTCTACCCAAGAGTTGAAAAATCTATCTTATCATCTATACCTCAAAAAATCTGAAATAAAAATTAGCTTAAGTCGAAAATCAAGCAAAATAAGACGTTTTCGACTTTTAATTGAAGTTAACATTCATAAAGCCAGCTTTTGTTTTCGTCTAAAACAACAATCACATGTAGACGTTTAGTGGCGATAAAGACTCCTTGGGGTTGTTGTTTTATCGAAGACGTGTAATATAGAATACCACCTAGCGCGACAATTCAGCTTTGCCTTTAAGAAGCCAATATTTGGCTTTGGTCAGATTTTCGAGATAAGATCACAAATAAAGACCATTTTGCTTTTAAATAAATAAATCAAACTTTGATAAAAAAAATTAAATAAACAGGTAATGGAAACCGGGCAATAAAATTTGAAAGAAATGCCTATTTTAGTCAACTATTTTGAAGGGGCTGGAAATATATATGGTCTGTTCCAGAACTGCAAAAATGCAAAAGTTTTTACTATGATAACCGATTTTCCAATTATGATATCGAAACATATTGCAAAACTAGTAGATTCTTGCAAGTTCTGGAACAGAAAATTACTGTTGAATGGCTTCCCAGCTATAATTTTCTCATTGTCAAAATAAGGATTTATTGAATACAATATGACGGTCGCAACAACTTGCAAAACATCATCCTAACCCCCATTTTAAAATGTATGTGTCATCGGAAGTAGGTACTTATCAAAATGGCCAATATCCAATAAAAAAAAAAAATAAAAAATAACAGCCGATGTAGAACTTTGGAGTTGTACTTGTGTTTTATTTTAGCCTTATGCTATTTCGAAAATTTTACTTCCAGCTCATGTTTTTCCAATAGGAGTACTCCCGAACTCTCCCACATAAACTAAAATAATGGTGAGTTAATTGCTTGTAAAACTCGTTCTCTTGGAGAACTCTTACTTGCGAGCAAGTAAAATCTGAGCTTTGGTCATAATTATAAACCGATCAACACGATACAATATTTTTTTTTTTTTGTCCAGCCTATTAGTATAAATCACTATGTTCATTCATTTAAGAGGAATTTTTGATCATATAACAAAACGCGTAGTATTTGCCAAATATGGATGGATTTGCGCAAAGCTTTTAAATTTTGATAGTTATGCCAATACACCAAGCAAAAAAAAAACTTTCTTCGATTTCACTATTGTGTTAATAAGAATAACAAAATTGATGTAATTTTAGTCAATAATATTTCAATAACATGCATTAATTTTCGCCGTTTTTTAAGAAAATTAGAGAGCATAGTTTCATACAAAATTAGATAAATTGTAAACAATTATAAAACCCTTTTAAACAAAAAAAAAAAAATGGAAAATTGTGATATACATGTTTTAGTTGTGTAATAAGTTAATGAAACAAAAATTTAAAAAAAACATTCGTTCATCAAAAAATGCTATCAACAACACACTTGAAAATTTATGTACTAAAATACATTGTATTAGTCAAATACATACATATATTTATTTATTTTCTTTGTTTTTTTTTTATTTTTAAATCATGCTGAATACATCATAACCATTATTACTAAGTATATTAAAAGAAATAAAGTAAATACAAAACATTTGTACAAACTAAATAAATAAAAAACAAAAAAAGGCATCACCCAAATAACATTAATTAATATACCAAAGAACAAGAAGAGGCAATTTCTAAATGAAAGACAAAAAATATATAAATAAAATAAAAAAATAAATAAATCCATAACAGGTTAAAAAAAAAACAACGTTATTGCCTTCCTTCCGCTTAGCTCTATCTAAGAGAACTAATTTTACATAGAATAATAAAATGACTATTCTTTGTCTGAATAAAACATTTTGATTGCTTTTATCAACAATGGAAACATGCAACTCATTTCAGATAATAATTATTATTATTATTATTATTGTTAAGAGGAATAACAAAACTATTTACATACATTCAGATAGACATATAACAATATTGCACATTTTATTTTAACTATTCATTAATTTTTTCTTCTGACCTCTAATACAAATCAGCAACTAAGACATACCGATTCATACAATAAATGGTTTAATGTTTTTATGGACAAAACTTAATAAAATATTACTTTGAACAATGTACATAAATGTGTTTTATTTGAAAAACTAAAAATAACAAGTAAAAGAGCAGAAAGTTCGGCCGGGCCGAACTTTGAATACCCTCCACCATTTGGAACGAATTAGAAAATTTAAAAAAAATAAAATCCATTAAAAATTCTTTTAAAATCTTTAAAATATCTAATATAGGAATAGATATTGCGGACCTATAAAGACAAATCTATGTCTGGGTGTAATGTACTCACAAGGAACTCCTTGTGTGGATTTTCAGATAATTCCATTGGAAAAAGTGGCTAAAATCATCAAAACCGAATATCGCGGGGTAACGTTATATGGGGGCAATACGTTATCGTTAACCTATTTAGATAATTGTCTGCCGAGGCATAAAGTACCTACAAGGAACTCCTAGTGTGTATTTTCAGACAATTCCGATGAAAAATGTGTGTAAAATGATCATAATACCGAATATCGGGGGGTACCGTTATATGGTGGATATACGATATCGTAGACCTGTGTAGACAATTCTCTCTCGGGGGGTAAAGTTCTCACAAGGAACTACTTGTGTAGATTTTTAGACAATTCCATTGAAAAATGTGGCTAACATCATCAAAATACCGAATATCGGGGGGTACAGTTATATGGGGGATATACGATATCCTGGATCTATATAAACAATTCTTTTTGAGGGGATAAAATGCTCACAAGGAACTCCTTGTGTGGAATTTCAGACAATTCCATTGAAAAATGTGGCTAAAATCATCAAAATACCGAATATTGGGGATACCGTTATATGGGGGCTATACGATATCGTGGACCGATATAGCCCATCTTCGAACTTGACCTGCGTGCAGACAAAAGAGAGATCTGTGCAAAATTATCTTGAGAAATGGTTGTTTATCGGCCTTTTTATTTGATTTATAAATAATAAGATTTTTTCGAGCTTTAGGCCATTTTCGGATTTATTTTATTGATTACAATAATATGTTCCCAATATTTCGCAATTATCAAATTGCATCTTCAGGGGCAATCTATTTTAGAAAACATAATTATTAGTATCACAGCATTTTGTTATGGGCACAATTATTTTCCAAAAAAAGAGATTTCTTACATTTACATAAAATTGTCAGATTTACTTAACAGCTAATGTAGTTTTTACTACCATTGTCTGGTGTTATTATTGCACTGATTATTTCTACGTATTGCACGATCTCTTCTTTGTCAAGTGTCGATAACAATAAGCTGCATTATCGGTGTCGCTTTTGTAATTGATCTTTTTGTTTGTTGGTATGTTATTTATATGCAGCATCTCCAATGTTAACCTTCTGTTGTAGTTGTTCTCCGCCTGTAATACTCGTATTTTGTCAAAGTTTGGTATGTGGTTGTTAAGTTTACAGTGTTCCGCAAGTGCTGTTTTTTGAATATTGTTTTGGCTCCTTAATTTAATGTCTGATTTATGTCCCGATATTCTAGTTTTTAATTTGTTTTTTGTGGTACCAACATATATTTTTCCACATTTGTCGTCTTTTGTTCCATCACATTCAATGCTATATATTACATTGTGTCTCTCACTTAACGGAATTCTACTTTTGGTATTAGTAAATAAACTTTTTAGTGTATTGTTTGTCCGTGTTGCTATTTGCAGTTTATCCTTGTCATATAAATCGGAATTTTGGAATCTCTCAGATAATCCAGGAATATAAATCATTGATTTGTAATATTTTTCTTGAGATTTGTCCTTAGATTTCGGTATATTATATTCATTTATTAATTTTTCAATTAATAATTTTGGAAAACAGTTTTTGGACAGTATTTTTCGTATTTTGTTTTTATTATTTTCGTGGAATTTATGGTCGCTAATATTCAATATTCTGTTTATAAGATTCCTACCTGTGTTAATAATCATTTGTTTTGGATGTTTCGAGTGGAAATTTAATATGCGACTCGATGCCGTCGGTTTTTGATACCAGTTCATTTCTATTTTATTGTCCTTTCTCATTACAAGTGTGTCCAGATATGGGATGGAACCATTATGCTCCTTTTCAATGGTAAATTTAATATTTTTGTTGAAATTATTGAAAGTCGTCAATGTTTCTTGTATTGCATTTTCCCCAACAATCATAAATAAATCGTCTACATACTTTGTTAATATCACAGGTTTCGTCTTAAGTTTTTCCATGCAGGTGTCAAGTAGTTTCTCCATCACTATATCAGCTACAATCGGAGAAGCTGGTGAACCCATAGGTAGTGAGACCTATATGCTCATCGGTTAACTCACCTTCAATACAATTATGCAAATATGTGGTAAATATTCTAAAAAATCTGACCAAAAACTCCAAATACAATGTAAGTGACTCGATGCAATTTAGAGATAAGATTAAAAACTTGACGATTAAAGACGAAGAGCAGATGGTCTCATTTGATGTTGTGTCACTTTTTCCAAGTATACCTGTGGACCTGGGACTAGAAATAATAGAGAAAAGATGGAACGAAATTGAGGAATACACCAATATGTCAAAGAGCTTATTTTTAAGTATTCTAAAGTTTTGTATTAAAGATAATCGATATTTTCAATATGAGGGCAGAATATACAAACAAAAGAAAGGACTACCTATGGGTTCACCAGCTTCTCCGATTGTAGCTGATATAGTGATGGAGAAACTACTTGACACCTGCATGGAAAAACTTAAGACGAAACCTGTGATATTAACAAAGTATGTAGACGATTTATTTATGATTGTTGGGGAAAATGCAATACAAGAAACATTGACGACTTTCAATAATTTCAACAAAAATATTAAATTTACCATTGAAAAGGAGCATAATGGTTCCATCCCATATCTGGACACACTTGTAATGAGAAAGGACAATAAAATAGAAATGAACTGGTATCAAAAACCGACGGCATCGAGTCGCATATTAAATTTCCACTCGAAACATCCAAAACAAATGATTATTAACACAGGTAGGAATCTTATAAACAGAATATTGAATATTAGCGACCATAAATTCCACGAAAATAATAAAAACAAAATACGAAAAATACTGTCCAAAAACTGTTTTCCAAAATTATTAACTGAAAAATTAATAAATGAATATAATATACCGAAATCTAAGGACAAATCTCAAGAAAAATATTACAAATCAATGATTTATATTCCTGGATTATCTGAGAGATTCCAAAATTCCGATTTATATGACAAGGATAAACTGCAAATAGCAACACGGACAAACAATACACTAAAAAGTTTATTTACTAATACCAAAAGTAGAATTCCGTTAAGTGAGAGACACAATGTAATATATAGCATTGAATGTGATGGAACAAAAGACGACAAATGTGGAAAAATATATGTTGGTACCACAAAAAACAAATTAAAAACTAGAATATCGGGACATAAATCAGACATTAAATTAAGGAGCCAAAACAATATTCAAAAAACAGCACTTGCGGAACACTGTAAACTTAACAACCACATACCAAACTTTGACAAAATACGAGTATTACAGGCGGAGAACAACTACAACAGAAGGTTAACATTGGAGATGCTGCATATAAATAACATACCAACAAACAAAAAGATCAATTACAAAAGCGACACCGATAATGCAGCTTATTGTTATCGACACTTGACAAAGAAGAGATCGTGCAATACGTAGAAATAATCAGTGCAATAATAACACCAGACAATGGTAGTAAAAACTACATTAGCTGTTAAGTAAATCTGACAATTTTATGTAAATGTAAGAAATCTCTTTTTTTGGAAAATAATTGTGCCCATAACAAAATGCTGTGATACTAATAATTATGTTTTCTAAAATAGATTGCCCCTGAAGATGCAATTTGATAATTGCGAAATATTGGGAACATATTATTGTAATCAATAAAATAAATCCGAAAATGGCCTAAAGCTCGAAAAAATCTTATTATTTATAGATCTGTGCAAAATTTTAGCTTCCTATCTTAATTCGTTTAGACTGTAGCGTGATTACAACAGACGGACAGACGGACGGACAGGGCTAAATCGTCTTAGAATTTTACGCTGATCAAGAATATATATACTTTGTTGGGTCTAAAATGATTATTTCGATGAGTTACAAACGGAATGACGAACTTAATATACCCTCCATACCTTTTTTGGTGGAGGGTATAAAAAATATACATCGGAGACGGGTTCCACAAAATGGAAACATACGTAGAATGTATATGGGAGCTATATCCAAATCTTAGCCGATCTCGATTAAAATTTGGCAAATGTATTTTCGAGCTCTATAAGATATCTGGCACCAAATGTCATTGTTGTCGAATGCATATTACGAATGTGAGGGACTTGAACACCAAATCAGATGAAAAATATACAGGGTGAGATGAAAAAACTGTAACCAACTTCAGACTGCTGTCATTTCTAAGCCACTCGTCCGAAAGCTGTTAAAATTATTCCAGTGACAGCTCATTGTGTTGTTTACAAGCGTACAAAATCATTTTCGTGAGAATTTTCCAGAAAAAATTTATTCGTAATGGAATTTAAGTGGGATATTGTGATTTCTTTACATTTGGCTGGAGAACTACAAGTGGCTATCGTTAAAGCACTCTAGCATTTAAATGTGAATAAATCTTTTGTGTCACGTACCATCGCTCGTTACCATGATACTGGTAGCGTAACCCGACGTCAGGGAAGTGTACGGAAGACAACAACAACATTAGCAGAAATTGTTCGAAACGTATAGAAGCGACTTGATCGAAACCCGCGTCGCAGTGGCTGAACATACCGCAAAATTCCATTCGGCAAAGATTGAAAAATGAGCTCGGGGTAAAGCCATTAAAATTCCAAAAAGTGCAAAAACTTACATCGCAACAGAAAGAAAATAGACTCAAAAGAGCTAAAGAGTTGCTTCGCTTGGCCGAAAGTGGTGAGTGGTGAACTGCCTAAATTGGGTTTTCTCCGATGAGAAATCCTTCGTTGTCTAGCAGTTTGTAAACAAACAAAGTGGTCGTGTTTACTTGCCAAAGAGGTCAGCTGAAAATGTACCACTTCGGTTGGCCACCAGAACTCAAGCACCGGCCATTGTGATGGTGTGAGCCGCCATAACAGCCGATGTTCGCTCTCCGCTCGTATTCATTCGCATCAGAATAAATGCCGAATATTATCGCGAAAATAAACTTGAGGGTGTATTAAAGCCTTGGGCACGCAAACATATGGACATTCCAACAGGACTCAGCACCACGCGCCTCCCAAGAATGGTTACAAAATGGCACCCAAAATCTCCGGATACCAATCCGTTGGACTATTGTGTCTGGAGTTTTTTTGGAAAGCAAGGTTGGCACTAAAAAATACCAAAGTGTCAATCACCTCAAGCAAGCGCTTCGCCGGGAATGGACCAAAATACTGCAGAGCAAAATTCGAGCGGCGTATGAGGGTTTCATTGGTCGTTTGAATGCCATAATTCGTGCCGAAGTTGACAAATTTGAACAATAAAATCCGTTAAAAATTCTGAAAGTATTGTTATATGCGACCTATACGAAGACCTGGATATGCATAGACAATTTTCTGTCACGGGCTGCAGTACAAATTAGGAACTTTCATTTCGAACTTTGAAACAATTTCGGCGAACAATGTCGCTAAAATAGGAAAGAACACTTATAAGAGGGGCTATATCTAAACGTGGATTAAGCTACTCAATTCGTTCGGCAGCCAGAGTGATTTCCGCAGACAGGCTGATTTAAATTTTATGCTGATCCAGAATAAAAAGACATTGAGGGGTATAAAATGTATATTTCGAGGTATTACGGACGGAATGAAAAACTTAATATACCCTCCATACAATGGTGGGGGGTATATAAATGACATAGGGACGCACATACGGATCAAAATCAGCGAGTTTTACTAAAATCGGTTGGTGATTGCAGTTGAGGTCTTCAAAATACCATAATGTGGGCGGTGCGGTTATATGGGACTGAACCAAAACGAAACTCTATATAGACAATATCCTGCTACAGAAGTTGCTATGTATTGAAATTCTATCGAGATTTAAATAGTAACTTTGAAGTAATTTGAAAAATGGGGCTTAAATGCAATATCAAATATTCGGTGGTACTGCTATATGAACCTATTCAAGCAACTTACTCCCACAGAAGATTAATCCCATTACAAACTCCACGTTTCATGGGCTTTATGGTACCAAAAGAAAGTAGAAATACTGAGATTATCGACAATCGATAATGGGACTGTTTTTTTACATTTTATAAGAGTTACAGTTATTCGAGATTTTGACCCTTTGTGGGGAAGGTACTAGAAGGAATAAGCCGATACCTATCTTCACATCGGATCTTGTGTCTGTAGAGATATTGGAGTGTGCGAAGTTTAGAATGAAGCGGATTATCATTTCACATTTTATGAGGAATATAATTATTCAAAATTTAGACCCGTTCTGAGTTTTTAAGATAATCGGACTCTTATTTCACATTTTATAAAAGTTATGATTTTTTTTTTAAATCAGGTCAATTGGACGATTCTTTCTTACTATATGAGGTAATTTATTTTCTGTGAAAATTTTGACCTTTTGTGGAAGAGGTACCAGAAGGAGTGGATCGATATTTCGCATCTCCGAACCCTATCTAAGTCTAACAAATATATTTCGTTGTACCAAGTTTGGATTAACTGGGATATTCCCTTCGAGAGTTATCGTGACGGACGGACACACCTATATCGACTCCAAATGACCTAAAACGGATTTGGTCTAAAGAGACCAAATGTCGATGAGGCTTGTTTTGGTCGTATCAAATGATATATATCCTCTGTAGCCATATAGCCTGAGATTATAAACAACAATAAATGGTTTAGGTCCAGTTGTTTTCCAGATCAATAACATATGATGCAAGTACTAATATACTAAAGTGCTAACACTTGATATTACAAACCAATTTAATTTTATTAATTACTTTATGTGCAGAAATGCATAATAATCCGTACGAGTTTGTCATTCCTAACAATTTTGTTCCATTTTTTTTTCATGGAAATCATTTCAAATAGGGTAAGTGTGCCTAAGTTCGACATGAAACTATTATAACTAAATGTACTTCACTTTACTTCAAATATATTGTCAGCTACCTTTGTGTACAATTTCGCTAAGAAAATATGATTTATTCTAATAAAAATTAAATTTTTGTCTGTGAAGGTCCTCAACAATCCATATTCTTAAGAAAAGTACAATAAAGTCGTCGAATCAGTTTAACTAAACAAAAATATTATATTGAGTTTTGCCTTGTTAAGGCGAATATCATATGTTTTATGATTTATGTGTTTGTTTTTCTCTTTCGAGACGAGCTTAATGATCTGAAATTTGCAGTGAAATGGAAAGCCAGATAGACACTATCACACACTCACCACTATGCGACGCGTTTCGCCGTTGGTTAAGCGGCTCATCAGGCATATTTGATGTGGATGATGGCTTACAAGGGCCGTTCTCTGGAAAGTAGTATATATTTCGAACTTATTGCAAATTGCAAAAATATTATATTTTAATGAATTATTTTATTATCATTATTAATTATTCTTACCAAAAAATTGGTATGCCGACTGTTGGAACATGCCATACCGACAATTGGCAAGTGGTGGTGACTACTGGCACAAAAGCTTTGTTTTAATAAAACTACAAATTTATGAAATTTAATTAAAAACTTATTAAAACTTTATTTATTATTGCAAAAACTATACAAAATTTCGAATCTGAATAAATTAACTTTGTAATAATTGAAAAGTTCCACTCAGAATGGTGAGCGATTAAAAACGCGAAAATCCTAAAAGTGCCGACTACTGGTACACTTACCCTATTTTCCAAAGAACGTTATTATCGACTACAGTCGACTCCGCTTTACTGAAACGACAAAAAATTGGCTTGTTCATTTCAGTTATCCGAAGTTTTCGCTTAAGCGAAGTTCGCATAACTGAAAATTTTTTCAGTTATCCGAACTTCGCTTCAGTGAAATTTTTTTCATTTATCCGAACTTAGCAAAAATGAAAAAAATTAATAATCCAATTGCATACCCGTTCAAAACAAAACACACATTTATTGATTTAAACAAATTTTATTCGCAGAGATCATACAAAATTAAATCAATATACTTTCGGTCTAACAGTAATAAAAATACAATGAAAAATATTAAATTAAAGGAACTTCAGTCGTATCATTTAAGTTAAAATTAAAAAGAAACATTAAAATAACATTTTTGGAATTCACTATTTTAAAATATATTATCGGAAAAATTATTATTTAATTACATTGAAAATAATCTTGCATATTTTTTTGTGTCAACCGTTTTATATTTATTTGGCACATTACGTTTTCAAGATCGTGAATCTTTTGTCGTGCATCCGGATTGTCTCGAAAATAATCAGTTAAAACATTCATTGCAGCAAAAGCCTCTTTTAAAGTAGGTTTTGGCGATATGTCTTCTTCAACTACATTATTTTCACAACAATCTTCATCATTATTTTCTTTTGTACTCAGTGTAATATACTCTACAATACCATCATCAGTCAAACTCTCGCAACAGGGTTCATTTTCGTCTACCCTAATAAGTTCTTCCATATCAAGTGCAAATTCATCATCCATAATTTCCATGTCTTGACTTGTTTCTAGGACTTCATTCAGAGAGAACCCACCTTTTTTGAAACAATTTAATAAACATTCTGCCGTAACGCTATTCCATGATAATTTTATCATATTTAGGGCTTCTAACAAATCTATTTTTTTCGAAAAATCTTGTGGGGGTAGACCACATTCTAAATGCAAGATTTGCTTAGACACTAACCGCTTTCTGTACTGCGATTTAAAAGAACGTATTATTCCTTGATCAAGAGGTTGAATTAGGGAAGTGGTATTTGGTTGCAAAAATATGACGGTTATGTTGCTTAAAACTACATCATCCATTATTTGGTGACACGATGCATTGTCAACAAAAAGAAACATTTTTTTATTCTTTTCTTTTACCTTTATATCCAAATCTTTTAGAATTTCCGTCCATAACATTTTTGTCATCCATGCTTTAGAATTAGAATAATAATTTACTGGTATTGTGTTTTTTCTAAAACATCTTGGACTTTTGGATTTTCCTACACAATAAATGTTTTTGTCATTGCCAGTTGAATTTGTTATGAACAACAGTGTTACTCTATCTTTAGACATTTTTTGTCCGGATGGATGTTCATTTTTATGGGCTAAGGTTCCATTTGGAACAAGTTTATAGAATAATGCGGACTCATCAGCATTATATATATTGTCTGCTGAATATTCTTCTAGGTATTTCGCAAGAATGTTTTCTAGCCACTCTTTAGCCCCGCCTGTATCAGCATAACTTTTTTCACCGCTCAGGTTTTTAAAGTGAATATTTTCTCGTTTTTTCCACTGTTCGAGCCAACCATTCGTTGGTTTAAAATTTACATTAAACTTTTTTGCAAAATCATCTGCTTTCTCCAACAATAACGGCCCAGTTATTGTGGCGTGTTTTGATCGCATATCCTTGAACCAAATGAATAAAGCATCTTCCACATTTTTATGTGATCCTGTCCTTTGTCTTTTCATGAAAACATTTCTGTTTCGATCCATTACATTGGTGACAACTTGTTTATTTTTTACAATTCGACTTACTGTCGCGGCACTACACGTAAATTGTTCACAAATTTCTTTTCTGGGAACACCCGATTTCAGTTTTTCTATTATTTCTATCTTTTCTTTATAAGATAAACACTTATATTTACTGGACATGTTTGATTTCTTTGAAATAATTTAAATAGAACGTTCTTTTGTTTCTTGTGTTTATTTTGTTTTTGTTTCACTTATCCAAGTATGTAGAAAGAAATAACGAGAATTGTGTTATCAAAATGTTAATAATCGATATCAAATATTACATGTTCCGCCATTCTCCTCTTTTCTAGTGAGTTTGTTCAGTTATAATTATGTAAACTAGATGGCATTATCTAGTAATTAAAAAATAGATGGCAATATTTGTTTTTTCAGTAAAGCGGAGTGATTTCAAAAGAAATTGCAATATTTGAAATCAACCACCATTTCACTTATCGGATATTTTCAGTTATGCGGAGTTTCAGTAATGCGAATTAAATAATGAGAAAGTGACCTAAAAATGTAATGGCGCAGGAACTCAATTCCAGTTATCCGATATTTTCCAATAAAGCCACTTACAGTAAAGCGGAGTCGACTGTACCGGTATTACCATTGTGGTGAATAGGATTAGTGAACAGGGTGTCAACATTTACCACGACATTGTTTGTACAGTACACAATTTTTCTTTAATACTTTTGTACAGTTGAATTTACTACTTTATTTCGACTCAAGAGGGAGCTAAACGGGCTCTCCAAATTTATGATAGTACTAGCTGAACCCGGTCCGCTTCGCTACCCCTTTTGATTTTATATGCATTCAAAATTTTATTTACGAATATATGTTGGTTAAAAAAAACAAATTTAAAAATTAAAAAAAAAATTATTGCACTACTTTAATGCGTAAATTAACAAAACCATTAGAAAAGCAGTAACATGACATACATACACGAAGAGTTTGTCCTTCGAATTTATTTGTTTCATAGCAAATACCAAGCGTGCAATAAACTGCAATCTTTTGAAGTTGAGTGGCATTTCTATTGCAATTAGTGAATTCGAGATAACAACATACTTCGCCGTAATAAGCGTATTTCAAATTAATTGTTGTGCTGTTTTTTTAGTGTTAGCCGTTGTGGGTCAATGGTTCTTATTAAAATCATATCCCAATCTGATCCGATTTAAATATAATTTTAAAAAAAAATTACTTGTACACCAAATTTCGCCACACCTTTCATATTTCATTGAAATTGGTGCGTCTAATATGTGAAATCGGCCGAGAATATATATATGGGAGCTATATCCAAATCTTAACTAATTTCCAATTAATTTGTCACATTTATTATTGTAACCAAATTCCGCCACACATTCTGAATTTCATTGGTAACGGTCATATATATCATGTTTGGTGCATAACATGTATTAAATCGGCCGAAATATATATGTTAGCTATATCCAAACCTCAACTGATTTCAATATAATTTGGCAATTCTTTCTGGTGCCAGATTTCGTCTCTCTCGCTTTGGGTGCATCAAATATGTGAAATCGGCTGAGTATATATATGGGAGCTATAATCAAATCTGAGCGTATTTGAATATAATTTGTCAAATTTATTTTTGTACAAAATTTAGCCACTCATGCCGAATTTCATTGGATTCGGAAATACGTATCGTATTTTGTGCATCAAATATGTGAAATCGGCGGAAAATATAAATATATAATTTATTTTCTAATCAAAATTCCGTTACATATTCAAAATTTCTTTGGAATCGAACATACATATCGTATATGGTGCATAAAATACATGAAATCGGTCGAAAATATATATGAGAGCTATATCCAAATCTGAACCGATTTTAATATAATTTTACAAATGCATATTTGTTTTAATTTCCGCTATACATTCAAAATGTAAATGATATACATAGCGTGTTTTGTGCATCAAATATGTGAAATCGGCGGAAAATATATATGGGAGCTATATCCAAATCTGAACCGATTTCAATTTAATTTGACAAATTCATTTTGGTTCCCAATTCCGTTACTTATTTTAAATTTCATTACAATTGAAAATACATATCGTGTTTGGTCCACCAAATACATGAAATCGGCCGAAAATGTATATGGGAGCTATATCCTAATCTGAACCGATTTCAATATAATTTGGGAAATCAATTTTTTAGATAAAATCTATAACACGTTTCAAATTTCATTGAAATTGGGGATACATAGCGTGTTTGGTGCATCAAATGCTTGAAATCGGCCGAAAATATATATGAGAGCTATATCCAAATCTGAACCGATTTAAATATAATTTGACAAATTTATTTTCGGTTTAAATTCCGTCACACGTTCCAAATTTCATTGGAATCGAACATTCATATTGTGTTTGAGGCATCAAATGAACGAAATCGGTCGAAAATATATATGGGAGCTATATCCAAATCTGAACCGATTACAATATAATTTGGCAAATTTATTTTTGTTCCAAATTCCGTTACGTATTCCAAATTTGGAGACTGTATCTTCAAACAATCAATAGATATGTGCATATAAAATCTAAATTTTTGGGAGGTACCTCCGATTCTGATGCTATATCTCCAGTTCCAAGTTGAAATTCAAAAATGTATATAACCTATGTTACTTTCAGGCGATGTTGCAGTATATATGGAAATTTTCAGGAAAATCTATTCAGCGGTTTTCGAGTCCATAAATTACAAACAAACAAACAAACATACAAACATTTTCATCTTTTATAGATATAGATTTCTTTATGAATTAAATTAAATATTTGCCCGAGACATTAAAACATTTCTATTAAAAACGTATTTCTTAGGTTTAACTTATGTAAATATTGTCTTATTGGTACAATGTTTGCAAAAAAAATATGTTCAATGTAAGCATATTTTTCTAATTTACAAATTAAAATGCGTAATATATTTGTACAAAGAGTACTGAGTGGTACTTAAATTGGAATTGGATGAAGGGATAGAGCTTGCGATAACTTTCGGTGTGTAAGATTGAGATATGGAACGGTTTTGCAAATGAGTAATAAAATTATACGATTTTACTACTATCCTTCAAAAAAAAAAAAGATTTGAAGACTTTTTGTTGTAAAATGTTAAAATTTTAATTGAATAATATCCATAATCTTGAAAGTCTGAAAATTTAGTACGTTGTATGATAAAAAGATTTAATAAGAACCTGCTAATACAGAGTGAGATGAAAAAACTGCAACCAAGTTCAGACTGCTGTCATTTCTAAGCAGCTGTTATTAAATTATTCCTGTGACGCCTCATTATATTGTTTACAAACGTACAAAAGCATTTTGGTGAGAATTTTCCAGAAAAAAAGTTATTCGTGATGAAATTAAAGCGTGATAGTGTGATTTTTTTATATTTGGCTGAAAAACCACAAGTGGCTTTCGTTAGAGCACTGCAGCATTTTAATGTGAATAAATCTTTTGTGTATCGTACCATACATCACTCGTTACCGTGATACTGGTAGCGTAGCCCGACGTTCGTATTAGTTGTCAGTGGCATCCGAATAAATGCCGAATATTATCGCGAAAATATTCTGGAGGGTGTATTAAAGCCTTGGCCGCAGACCTTGGACATTCCAACAGGACTCAGCACCATCGCAGTCAGCACGCGCTACCCAAGAATGGTTACAGAATTAGGTTCCTAGCTTCATTTCCAGCGCACAATGACCACCAAAATCTCCGGATACCAATCCATTGGATTGGTGTATGTATTTATTATTTTGAAAAATTAAAAAAAAATATTTTCAAAACCAATGATTGGAAGACACGTACACTGCAGCTCGCGCTTCAAAGCTATTGACCAGTTTAGCCATGAAATTGAAAGATTGAACAGTTTGGATCATATTTTTGAGAGAAAATCCAGGCATTCTATAAATGAGGAAAAATATGAAAAAAATGAAAACAACGTTTTGTATATAATTTTGAATGAGTCTGACAGGAAGCGGACATAGCCTCAGGGCTGTATTTCTGTAGTTTTACGAAGCTGTTCTACCTCCTTATTGTACCATGAGACGTATTCCACTCAAATCATTTACATCTTATCATCCGATTTTCTATGTAAACCAAGTTTGGTAATATAGCTGTCTTTGTCCGAACATTGAGTTTATCTTTAAATTAAAAAACATTTGGGAAAAGGATATCTTAAATTGCTTCCTTTAAATTATTTTCCCACGCATTATTCACTAAGATCTTCATGGCCAGTCTATTAAATGCTTTAAGCGTTATTTAATTTTTGTAATTTTAAATAAAACAAATTTCCATTGTTAATATTGCTACATGGCTATTTTTTGTTTAGTCCCTACCATGGCTGCCATTAACATTTCCCCTTGGAATGTCAACACCAGACAGTAAGAACATAACAACAAGGACATGTAAAAATTACTAAAGGAATTTCCTTTTCAAATGACAAAAACAATTCCAAGAAACGGCAATGTTAACATCTGTTACGAATAAGATTGTCATTGATACGTCTCTAAAACAGATTGACAATTGAGAAAATACAATTGGGCCATATTATCAACATTCGACAAGTTAAGAAAGTGATTTTGATTAGAAATACTCAAATATTGTTTTTCAACAATTTCTGAAAGTTACCTTTAAAGTAAAGGCGAGTTTTTTTTTTAAAGGGGAGACGAAATTTTCCGTAATTTTGATAACGATTCCTATGGATGTTATCAAAATACGTCGATTATTTTGTCATAAGTGCAGAGTTATCAATTTGACGTTCTCCCGATTCCACACTTACAGAGTGAGATGAAAAACTGCAACCAACTTCACAATGCTGTCATTTCTAAGCCACTCATCCGACAGCTTTTAAAATTATTCCAGTGACAGCTCATTTTATTGTTGAGAAGCGTATAAAAGCATTTTGGTGAGAATTTTCCAGAAAAAAGGTTATTCGTGATGTAATTCAAGCGTGTTAGTGTGATTTTCTTTATATTTGCCTGGAAAACCACAAGTGGCTATCATTAGAGCACTCCAGCATTTAAATGTGTATAAATCTTTTGTGTTTCGTACCATTGCTCGTTACCGTAGCCCAACGTCAAGCAAGTGGACGGAAGAAAACAGCAACATCAGCAGAAATGGTTCAAAAAGTAAAGAAGCAAAGCGTCGCAATGGGTGAAAAATGACTCGTGAGCCGAATATATCGCAATATTCCATTCGGCAA